AGGTGGAACAATGTTTTGTATAGTATGTTATGCCAATTGAGCTTGATGTCCCCTGCGACTATGGTCCCAAGCCCGCAGGTTCAACTACTCGGTCTATCTGGGTAGCTGGCTGTGACCAAGCAGTGATCACAACCTTGCCCCTTGTCAGCTCTACTTCCAAAGATGTAGTTTGATTTGATTCCTGTGTATTCCATCTAGTGAAGTCCACATTGTTGAAAAAAAGTGTTTGCAATGAATAAGTCCTTGGTCTGGCAAAACTGTATCATGTCACAGTGTTGTTTCTATCATCATGGCTGTATTTTCCAACTTTCGCATCCCAATCACTAGTCATTATCAATGCATCTTGATTGTATGATCGATGTTAGACTGGAGAAGTTAGTAAAAATCTTTAAGTTCTCTTTGGCATTACTGGTTGGTAAATTTGAATAATAGTTGTATTAACTGGTCTTCCTTGAAGACATATAAATATCCTATCACTGACAACGTTGTACTTCAGGATAGTTTTTGTTTGTTTGTTTTTAAATTTTTATTGTGATTTGGGTGAAAGCTTACAGAATAAATTCATTTTCTATACAGCAACTCATACACATTTTGTTTCATGACATTGACTGCAATTCCCCACGATGTAACAGCTCTCTTCCCACTTTCTCCCCAGTTACCTCTTCCCTGTGTCCTTTCCTCCCACGTGTCCCCCAACCCCCAGCTGTCTCCCTGTGCAAACACTGACTGCCCTTCTGTTCTACCACAATTGATCACTCCAAGGAGTATATCTACCTGATGCAAATGTTCATCCCCTATGTTCAGGATAGATCTTAAAATGTTCTTTTAAATGATGAATATGATGCGATTCCTGTTCTACTTTTTGTTCCTGGCATAGTAGGCTATATGATTCAGATTCAAAATAGCCAATACCAGTCCATTTCAGCTCACTAATACTTAGGATATTGATCTTTATGTGTTCCATTTCATTTCTGATGACCTCCAATTTTCCTAGATTCATACCTTGTATAATCCGCATTTGAATTATTAATGGATGTTTGCAGCTGTTTCTTCTCATTTTGAGTCATGCCACATCAGCACATGAGGGTGTTGAAAGTTTTAGTCCATCCATGTCATTAAGGTCAACTCTACATTGAGAGCTCTGGTGGCACAGTGGTTAAAGCATTAGGCAGCTAATTAAAAGGCTGGCAGTTCAAATCCACTAGCCACTCCCCAGGAAAAACACAGGGCAGTCTGCTTCTATAAGTATTTACAGCTTTGGAAACACTATGGGCAGTTCTATTCTGTCTTACAGTGTCACTTATGAGTCAGCATTGACTTGATGACGGTGGGTTTTGAGGTCTACTTAAGGAGGCAGCTCTTTCCCCATTGTATTCTGTGTGCCTTCCAATCCAAGGGGCTCACTCATCATTATTATCAGACAATGTTCTGCTGCTCTTCATAAGGTTTTCACTGGCTTTTTTTTTTTTTTTTTTACAAGTAAGTTGCCAGGTCCTTTTTCTTAGTCTGTGTTAGTCTGGAAGCTCTGCTGAAAGTGTCTACCATGAGTGACTCTGCTAGTATTTGAAATACCAGTGTCATAGCTTCCAGCATCACAGCAATATGCAAGCCATCACAGTATGACAAACAGACAGGTGGTGTACTACTTTGCATTAAATGACATAATGCAAAAATAAATTATATATCTACATTGTTTCATATCTCTTACCTAGTGCTATGCTCCCATGTTAATTTTTTACTAATCCTTCATCTTGAAAAGATTAAAACTTTCAGAAAAGTTATTAGCACTTTTCCACTTTTTTTTTCTCTCTCTCAACCATGTGAAAATAAGCTGCAGAAATACTTCACCTCTATGTACGTTAGCATGTATTTCTAAGAACAAAGACCTTATTTTACATAACCACCAAAACATCACCACACTCAAGAATTTTAACAATGATTCAATAATAGCACCTGATGTCCTTACCAATGAAGCGGTGAGTTGGCTCAAACATCCCAATCACATTTATTTCTTCCCCTTTAATCTCTACTTCTTTCTTTTCCTTTTCCCCCTTCTTGACACCATTTCTCTCCTGTCTTTATTCATATTTCTCTAATTGTCTTGAAAATGTTCTTTATAGCTGGTTCTCCTTCTGATCTAGGATCAAATCTTGAACCTTACGTTGGGTACAAATACCCAATGTATTTGGCTGTCGTGCCTTGAAGTAACTTTTAATAGAAAAATTAAAATACTTAAGATTTCTTAAAAAGAATTCTTTCTGTCACTGCTTTCATGTACCGCAATCAAAATTTCTTTATATGCCTTGTGTTGAGTGTTATTTTTGACTATGGCTCTGTGGTCTTGACAGGAAAAAAAAAAAAATCAAATCCTTGAGCTAGAGTCCAGAGTGTTAAGGAAAGAGTACAAATCTATATAGGACTTTTACATTGATTATTTTAGTTAAACTGGGTGAAGGAAGTAGATCACTGCAAGAAAAATATAATGAAAAAGTTTGCTATAAATTTCTTAATTTTTATGACTTGAAAATTGTATTAAGTATTTCTTTTGATAACTGTAACTTTCAGTCTGTCTTATGTAAAAATCCATAGCTAAGCTTAATTTAAAGTGTTATATGTAAAAACAGTATTTTGAGTATAAACTAAAAAAGGAAAAGAAAAAACACTGTGTAGATACATTGGATTAGAGTTAATTTTTTTCTACACAATACTTGTAATGTCTTGAAACTTATACAGGCAGAAAAAAGATATTAAACCATACTACATTTTTCAAAATAAAGACCAGATATTTTATTCAGCCTAGACCAATAAGAAAAACAATAATAAAAGAAATTCATTATTTTAAAGCACTGCCAATTGTTGTGTCAAAACACATCTGCCAACACAAGGAACCAGAGAAGAGGAACAAAGTAGAAACACAGAGGTGGTGTTCTCTTGCTATTCATGGTAACTTCTCCATTGGCGTCTTCATCTCAATGTCTCCTCAATGCCAAGCCCTCACTCTAGCAGTTCTGCCCACTAGCCTATTTTCAATTTCCTGTTCTCCAGTTCTTTTCCTCAATCTCCTTCACAAACAACCACTTTAACCCTTTGTAGCTCCTAACCTGTCTGCCTTTCCCTTGATTTGTCTAGTGTCTTCTCTTCCTCAATTCCTGTTCATTCCCCAACTCACTGCAATCAAGCTTGTCTCAAAAATATCGAATCAGTTATGGCTAAGACTAATGAACTCTTATATATCGATCCAATAGCTTGTTCTACCCCTTACTCTATTTGACCTCTGTGATGCATAAGATCTACTGCCTCTTAAAACTTCTCTCTTGGTATGAAAGACTGAATTAATAGCCCCAGTCTTTTAGGCTTTTCTGTATCCATGGCCTTTGGTAGTGTTCTCTCACATTGATGCTGAGCTTAGCTGTGTGACTTGCTCTAGCCAATGAGACAAGAGAAAACTTGATACAGCCAAAGTTGAAAAAGTACTTGAGCATTGCTGTTTTCTCTCTTCATCCCCTGCCAGAATTATGAGACCATGTATAGGCCAGCATGGTGGGGAGATAAGAGAGACATGCTATACTGTACCAGTTGCCGTAGAGTTATTCTGACTCCTGGCAGTCCTATATGTTGCAGAGAAGAACTGTGCTTCATAGTGTTTTTAAGGCTGGAAACTTTCAGAAGTAGATTGCCAGGCCTTTCCAAGTAACCTCTGGGTGAGTTTGAACTGCCAATCTATTGGTTAGTAGTTGAGCACTTAACCATTTGCTCCACCCATAGTCTAGTCTATCCTTACCAGCTTCTAGCTAATTGCAGACATATGAATGAACTAGCTCATGTCAGCCCTGTTCATCTGTAGACTCATGAGAAATAATAAACAGTGATTGTTTTAAACCATTTTATTTGGGGGTAGTTTGTTATACAGCAATAGATACACTTTGTTTCTGAGTGACTTTCTTGATTCTTCCTCACACCACTGACCTACACACCCTCTTGACTGCCTCTGCCAACTCAACTTCAACCTACCCCTTAACCACTGGGATACCTGACTCAACTGCCCCGTCAACAAAGATGTCTCTTTATAGCCATAACAAAGTTCAGATCTCTCTCATTTTGAGATTTATAGACATCTATTACATCTAACTATTATAAAGCATCTACTTACTTTTTAGGCTAGTTGTTAAAAGGTGGAGATAAAAGAGAACAGTTTCTGGCCCCCATGAGGCTAAGTGTCCAGTGGAGAGAAAATCAAGTAAATATCTGCAATACACTGTGAAAAACTGCAATGGGAAACAAGAGAGTACTTAACCCAAACTGTGACAGTCGCAGAAAGCTTCTGGAGACTAAACCTGAACTAAATTTGAGGAGAGAGCACTGCTGGTGGACTAGTGTAATTCCAGCAACTAAGTAGCTTAATGTAAATAAACCAGAGGGAGTCATTGTGGAAGAGATAAGTCTGGAGAGTTAGGCAGCAGAGAACTGATGACAACCTTTGTATGACAATCTAAGGAGTTTATAAATTATCCTGAAGGCACTGAATGGGAAATCACTGAAAGGAATCAGAAAACAATGCAAAATGTGATTTATTGGAATCAGTCTTAGAAAACGAGGATAACCAAAAAACCAAACTCACTGCCGTGGAGTCAGACCCGACTCACAGCAACCCCTCCTTGGGTTTCCGAGGTGACATCACTATGGAAGTAGATTGCCAACCTTCCTTCCAAGGAGTGGCTGGTGGGTTTGAACCACCAGCCTTCTGGTTAGCAGTCAAATGCTTTAGGTACCACGCCACCAGAGCTCCTAGAAGATGAGGATAGCAAGATTTATATGTTGTTGTAATGTGTTGTAGAGTCGATTTTCAACTCATAGTGACCCCATGTGACAAAGCACAAATGCCCATAGGGTTTTACAGGCTGCAATCTGGACAGGAGCACAACGCTAAGTCCTTTTTCCCATTGAGCCACTGGATGGGTCAAACTACCAATCTTTTGATTAGCAGCTGAGTGCTTAACCATTGTGCTACTAGGCTCCTTAGTTATGTTAGGGTTACACTAAGAATTAAGAGAGATGACATATAGAGCTTGTTTAGCATATGGCCTAGTACATGGTAGCTGCTTCATAAAATCAGCATTAATGTGAACTAGACTGTGAGCTGATCATGACTGAGTGACGTGTCTTTTTCCATTTCATTCTGATTCCAAGGCCAACCACTAGAAATGATTCCCAGGAGTCTCAATACAACTTTGTGGAATAAAAGAAAAATACATTTTAGTGTTTGATATGCAAGATCAATACCAAGTCTCATTTAGTTCAAAACAGGACTTTGCTGAAGTGATCTGTTCAGAATTAAAGAAAGCTTTGCCTCCATCCAGCTGTGCCTCCATCCAGCTCAAGAAGGGAAGTAAACAAAAACATGACCCCAAAATTTCAATTTAAAAATTCCTATGAAACGAGAGAACAGTGAGTTTGCACATTTTTGTAATGATATGTAATTTTAAGTATTATTTTAAGTAAGTAATACTTAAAGTAATATTTTATTCAAACCTATAGTTATCACACTGCATAACTGCAAAACAAAATTTAAATGTTCTACTCAAGCTTTGTTTGATACGAATGAAATCTCACCTTTAAAAAGAAGGGCATAAAGGAGAGTTTAATTCCACGAGCAAAAGCAATAGGTTTTAATTCTTCTCGTAACTTAACCAGTTCAGTAAGGTCAACCTCATCACAATACCCAAAGTGAGGAATCTTCAGGGCTGCAGTCATGGTCTTCACCATTGCTTTGTGAAAGCCTAGAAAACATTCAATCATGTATTTTTAAATTCTTAATGAACCCCCTTCTTATGAAAACAGAAGCTGCTCTAATGTTATTTAGGGGTTCCTGGGTGGCACAAATGGTTAAGCACTGTACTGCTAACCAAATGATCAGTGGTTTGACGCGCCCAGAGGTGCCTCTGGTAAAAGACCTGCTTTCAAAAAGTCACAGCCTTGAAAATTCTATGGAGCTCAGTTCTACTCTGCAACCCATGACATTGCCATGAGTTGGAATTGACTGAAAGGCAACTGGATTGGTTTGGTTCTCATGTTGTTTAGGAGCTCTGGTGGTGTAGTTTCTAAGGCACATGACTGCTAACCAGAAGGCTGGTGGTTCAAATCCACCAGCCACTCCCCGGAAGGAAGGTTGGGCAATCTTCCTTAGTGATACTGCCTTGGAAACCCAAGGAGGGGTCGCTATGAGTCGGGTCCGACTTGATGGCACATAACAACAACAACAACAACATATTGTTTACTTTCTCAACTGAACTCTTTCTCTTGGTGCTACCATCTTAATTACATTACACAACTGGAAAGCCACTCATTTCAGCACTTGTTGAAGTACTGACTCAAGCATTGGCATTCAATGGCAAGTAGGACAATAAGTAACTCCTTTAACTGCTGTGGTGTAAGAAAGAAATTCCCCAGGATACATGTCATGTATTTGCTGAATGGCTTTCTTGGAAACCCACTCTCCTGGAGGGTAATCATCCTAAGAGTTTATAAATAACAAATCATCAGAACTAGTTATATTGAAAGCTAACTAAAAATAATGAATATTTAAAATAGCCTGTGTAAGTCTTCAAACAGAACAATTATCAGTACAAAAGTTTATATTCCCAAAAACCTGCTATAGTATTACTCTTCAGAAGTTAACAGCATAAACTGAAGCTGTCCTTGAAAAACTGTTGCTTCACTTTATTTTAAAAATAGTTACATGCTAAATCTGAATTCTCCCTCCAGTAAGAATTGAAAACTCCATATTATATACATGGATCTCTTAAAGTAGTTTCCCCAAAATAAATACATTATTGCTTTCCATTACCGTATAATTACTATTACCTTTTAGGGGTTCTGTTCTGTCTTTGCCTGTGAGTACTGGAGGTTTTGATATTGGTATAGGAATAGTCCTGTCTTTGGGTTTTGGTGGAGGCAGCACAATTTCAGCTTTGGGTGAAGGAGGTAATATAGCTCCTGTTTGCTTTGCCAAATAGTTGAGAATATCTTCTTTAAGTATTCTGCCATCTTTTCCTGAGCCCACAACTTCACTCAACTTAATCTAAAAAAAAAAAAAAAGATAATTTTAATGTTAAAAATAAAACTATTTAAAAATAAACCCATCATTAAAGTTGAAAAACAGAATTGAAGAAATTGAAAATAAAAATGTATCTCTGCCTAAAATATTAGTACAAAGAAATAACATAGCTATAATTTACAGCTACCCTTTATAAGCAATCGTTCATCACTTTTGTACCACAGGAGCTCTGGTGGCCTAGTGTCTACTTCCGTAGTGATAACCGCCTCGGAAACCCAAGGAGGGGTCACTATGAGTTGGATCCGACTCGACGGCAGTGAGTTTGGTTTTTTTTTTTTGGTTCTTGTACCACCCTGTTCACTAACTGATGTGGTAATTATACAATACATACATTATATATACCCCTCATATCCCTTCTTTTGAACTGATACAAATCACAGCAACCCAGAGAACTGCCCCACAGGGTTTCCAAGGTTGTATTTAAGGAAACAGACTGACACATTTTTTTCTAGAGTGGCTGGTGGATTTGGACTGCTGACTTTTCATTTCATGGCCAAGCGCTTAACGACTGTGCCACCAAGCTCCTAAGTTTTTGTATAAATCTGTTTACAATTATTATATATAAGCCATAGCTATTTATACAAAAACTCACATTTTTAAACAGTCAGCTTTTTTAAAGCTTTTGCATATCCTTACTTGATATATTCTATTCTTGGAAACTGTAGCAAGAAGGACAAACAAGAGTTTAAAAAGAGTTAAACTGTATAATAAAATCCAGTGTTTCTTACCTTGGTTACCTGTTAAGCCTGTAATAGTTAAAATAATCAACATACAAAAGCTTTCTCAAATTACTTTTTTCCAGGTGGCTGTTTAGCAAAGATTACTACAAAACTTCAAAACTAATCTTACTGAGGCATATTTAGAATGTGAGTTCACCCTAAGTTGAGTTCTATTACTGTTTTCTATATAACAACCAATAAAAGCCCCACTGCCATTGAGTCAATTCTAACTTAAAACTCCCAGGGTTTCCAAGGCTGTAATCTTTAGAGAAGCAGACTGCCTCATCTTTCTCCTGTGGAGCACCTGGTGGTTTGAACTACCGACCTTTTGGTTAGCAGCCGAATGTTTTAACCACTATACCACCAGAGCTCCTTAATAAATAATACCAAAAAACTAAACCAAGCTCACTGAAATCGAGTTGATTCTGACTTACAGCCCCTTTGGGTTTCCAAGGCTGTTATTCTTTCCCCATAACAGCTGGTGGGTTTGAACTGCTGACCCTCTGGTTAGCAGTCAAATTCCTTACCCACTACAACACCAGAGCTCCTTTAAGTCTTTACAGAAGTCGACTGCCTCAGCTTTCTCACATGCTGGGAGGCTGGTGGGTTCAAACCACAGACTTTTCAGTTAGCAGCCGAATGCTTTAACTACTACATCACCACAGCTCCTTTAATAAGTGATGTTGTTGTTGTTCTTATGTGCCATCGAGTCGGACCCGGCTCATAGTGACCCCTCCTTGGGTTTCCAAGGCAGTATCACTATGGAAGTAGATTGCCTCATCTTCCTTCCAAGGAGTGGCTGGTGGGTTTGAACCGCCAGTGTTCTGGTTAGCAGTCAAGTGCCTTAGGCACTATGCTACCAGAGCTCCTTTAGTAGGTGATGTAATTCAATTCTAAATTAGACATTCTTGTATTTTTTTAAAAAAATTTACTGTACTCCAGGTGAAAGTTTATAAAGGAAAGTAGTTTTCTAATTAATAATTCATACCCAAATTGTTCCATGACATGGGTTGCAATCCTCTCCATGTGCCGGCACTTTCCCTGTTTCCTCCCTGCATTCCCTATTTCTATTCTTCTGGTTTCCCTTCCCTCCCTGCTTTCTCGTCTTTGGTTTTGAGCAAATGTTGTCCTCTTGGTCTCATATGGTTGATTGTTCTAAGGAGCACGTTCTTCACAGGTGTTAGTTTGTTTTAAAGGCCTGTCTATCATTTGGCTGAATGGTGGTGGTCTTTTACTCCTCCAGGAGTGTCTTTAGTTTCAAGTTAGAAGGTTGTCTGAGTCTAACAGTCTCAGGGGTTCCTCCAGTCTCTCAGACCAGCAAGTCTGGTCGTTTTGTTGTTGTTGTTCTACATATTTTACCCATTCTCCATTCTAAACCGGACCTTCTTCCAGGCGGGAAGAGAACAATAGTTGTATCTTGAATGGCCGCAGAATTTACACTTTAACAAGATGCCCTGGTGATTCTAACGGTTTTCCAGATTCTATGTATACATAAGCATTACCTGGGGATCTTGTTAAAACTAGTAGATTCTGATTTGGTGTATCTCGGGTGGAGATGCACAGCTGGGGGTCAAAGTGGAACGAACTGGTTTAAAGCCCTGAAAATAACTGGTGCAAGGTCAAACAGCTAACAAGTGGTGGAGTCAGGATTCTAAAGTGGTGCTCTTAGTTATGATATACTATGTCAACAATCATCACTGCCATTATTTGAGCCCTTTTGTACATATGCTATCTGTAATCCTTGCAACACGCTGCAGGGTGGTTTGAATTATGCCCATTTTACAAATGAGAAAGGGCAGGGACATTGATAACTTACCTAAAAGCAAGTAAGCAACTGAATTAGGGGTTGAACACAGGTTTGTTTGGTGCCAAAGCCTGACTTCTTTCTACTATGCCCCATAATGTTTATTTTTTGTTTGTCTGTTTTGGGGAAGTATTTAAATTATAGTGGGAAAAAAACAAAAGTTTACAAAATTTTTGGAAATATGTAATATGTGTCACTGAAAATGTTCATACCCCTCAGCCAGTTATTTAAACACTGGGGAAGTATTCTATGGAAATAATGTTTAAAATCAGGGAAGTGCTTAGGTAAATTATGTTCATTTTATATAGTCATTAAATGTGTTCAAATATGAAGATCATTTAAATAATAGAAAATAAAAATAGTAATATGGAACACTAGGTTGTTAAGGAAGCTCTGATAGCATAGTGCCCGAGGCACTTGACTGCTAACCAGAAGGCTGGCAGTTCAAACTCACCAGCCACTCCTTGGAAGGAAGGCTGGGCAATCTACTTCTGCAGTGATACTGCCTCAGAAACCCGAGGAGGGGTTGCTGTGAGTTGGGGCTGACTCGATGGCACATAACAACAACAACAACAGATTAAGGGCATAAGATGAAGTAATGATTTCATATGTTGATTTGAAAGCTATAAAACATTTACCAGTACTATTTTTTTTTAGAAATATGTGATTTGTCTTTCCTCTACCACTTCCTAAAGATGTCTATAATAACTATAGATTTATATAATTGCTACAATGAAGTAGCAGATTTTATTACCATAAATCACCTTTTTTCTTTTCTTGTAGCTTATTTATGAGTTGAGTTTCAAATGAAAAAGACAATGGCATTTACAATTATCTGTAATTACCTAAAAATTATTAGTGTGAATTCCTAAATTTCATTTAAAGTACAAACTCAGTGTCTGACATGATAATGTCCTTTATTTTGAAGTCATCCTTTGAAAAATACTAATCCAAATGGACAGATCTTAATCTTAAGAAATAGATTAATGCATACTCAAGTATAAGGATATCATACAAGCTATGTGTCTACTTTTCTTTAGCTAGAATTAAATTTTAGTAAGAATATTTTACCTCTATAACCAAACACAGAAAGTGACTGAATAAACAAAGATTACATTATGTTTCACAAAAAAGTCCCATGATTGTCTCTTCCTGCCTGGAGCAAAGGAGAATGAAGAAAACTAAAGACTTAAGGAAGCAATAAGTAACGGCCCACATGAACCACAGCCTCCTCCAGCTATCTATCAACTGTTCAGACCAAGCAGAAATAGAAGGTCCCATTTAGAATGTGAGAAAAATGCAGAACAAAACTCAAATTCATAAAAAAGACCAGACTTACTGGAATGATAGAGACTGGAGGAATCCCTAAAACGATTGCCCAAAGACACCCTTTCAAACTGGAACTGAAGCTATTCCCAGAGGAGACCTTTCAGCCACAGAATAGACTGGCCTACAAAATAAGCAATAATAGCCAGTAGGAACTTGCTCCTTAGAACAATCAACTAAACCAAAGGGCAACATTTGCCAAAAAGCAGAGAGGAGAAGGAAAGGACTTACTAGAGTCAGGGAGCCACCTCACTTGGGAAGTTGTGCACCCCATTCCCATTAGCCAATGACTGAGTGGGAGAGGCATACAAAAAGCCACCAGCTTTGTCTCAAGGCAGTATATTCTGTGGCATTCCCCACTTCCTTTGGATCAGCTCAGCTCCATGAGATTACATTTTGCCTGGCCCTGCCCATTCCTTCTCTTCCTTTCCCCAGCCTGCTTCCTCACTCCCTGAGGAGTTTTCACATCCTCAGTAAACCACTCTCATGTACCCAAATTCCTGTCTCAAGCTCTGATTCTAGAACACCTGACCTAAGACACTAGTATATAGAAGTGGCCAATAAATGGTAGCTCTTACTATTATTGGAAGCTCTGGTGGCATAGTGCCTAAAGCATTTGACTGCTAACCAGAAAGCTGGTGGTCAAAGCCACCAGTCACTCCTCGGAAGGAAGGTTGGGCAATCTACTTCCATAGAGATACTGCCTTGGAAACCCAAGGAGGAGTCACTATGAGTAGAATCCACTCGATTGGCAGTGAGCTTGGCTTATGCTTACTATTATTAGGCTCTAAAAAAAGAATAATAAAATCGCACTCAATTATCCTAAGTAATAAATTCACAGTTTCTCCTCATTTCTTATGAATACTTCTATGCAACTGTCACGTTTCAGTAAAAGACATTTTCAAGTTTTATTTAGTGGCAACTTGCGCCAAATACATACTTTATATGCCATCCCATATTTAAAATATTAAGAAAATGTACATTGTTTTCCATTGCAAGGCGACGAACTGCAGGAGTTGCTAGCGTTTTTTGGCCTTTGATTTCTTGGTGTGTATGTTCATCATGGGACACAGCAGGAGTTTCAACAACGTCTTCTTCTGAATCTGGTAACAAGGTAAAACTTTAGTTCAAAATAGTTTTTTAAAAATTTTTAAAAAGTTTAGTGATTTATAAATCTAACTACACTCAACTTAAATTTTATAGTCAAAATGCAAAAATAGGCAGGCTATTTGAGAATGGGAAAACACAATTATCCTAATGGTGGGGGTTTAGCGATTGAGGAAGTGATATTATAATCAACAGGTTAAAAATGAGGGGCACTGTATTATTAGCAGTTGATATTAATGACTATTATTTCCTGGTTCAGATACCTGGTAATGGCTAATGATTATTATTATCTGATATTTTCTGCTCATTTGTGTTAAAAATCATGCAGCAGCTACAAGTTAAAAAAAAAAAAAGGTTCTTCCATAAATTTTAAAACATGTTGCATATTAAACATTTTTTTCCCTAATACATTTCTCTTATATACATCTATAAATAGCACAAAATAAGATTCAAATGTGAGGTGAATGATATGAAACACTGAAATAAAATCTGTGGGAATCTTTCCAAAGATGATAAAAACCAAAAATCAAACTCACTCCCGTCAAGTCGGATCCAACTCACAGCGACCTCCCTCAGGTTTCTAAGGCAGTATCACTAAGGAAATCGATTGCCCAAACGTCCTTCCGAGGAGTGGCTGGTGGGTTTGAACCGCCAGCCTTCTGGTTAGCAGTCAAATGCCTTAGGCACACCACCAGAGCTCCCCTTCCAAAGATGATACGGCACCTAAAATTTTTCTCTGGTTTGAATACTATTTAAGGACTGCTATGGGAGATCTCAAAGGAGCTCTGGTGGTGCAGTGCCTAAGGCATTTGACTGCTAATCAGAAGGTTGGTGGTTCAAACCCATCAGCCACTCTGTAGAAGGAAGATGAAGCAATCTACTCCCATAAAGATTTACCACCTCTGAAACTAAATGGGGTTTGTATGAGTCAGAATCAACTCGATGACTGTGGGTTGGGTTGGGTTTGGGTTTTTATGAGAGATTTCAAGCAGCTCTGGTGGCACAGTGGTTAATGCATTTGACTGCTAACCAAAAAGTTGGCAGTGGGAGAAAGAAGATGCGTCTGCTTCCATAAAGATTTATAGCCTTGGAAACCCTATAGGGTAGTTCTACTCTGTCCTATAGGGTCACTATGAGACAGAATTGACTTAAGTACAGTGGATTTGGTTTGGTTTTTGGATGGGAGATTTGATTTTCATGGCTAAAGCTAATTTGGTTGCTCTATTCTCCAAATCTAGAGAATTTATCTATAACAGGCTATTCGCATGTAGTTTTGTAAGCAAAAAGAAATAGTTTTTGAGAACACTTAATAGCCAAAGTCTACTATCAGGAAGTCAATGGTGTATAGTAGAATCTCTGTGAGAATTGGTAAATTAGAGACAACTTCTGAAAATCAACAGGCAACCAGCATTCAATTCCAAGAAAATGAAAAATTTCCACTCTACAACTATGGAAAGATTGTTCATTCATTCCTTTTCATTGGGCAAAGAATTACCCAATGGAATACTCAAAATTCCCTTGATGGTACGGAAGGGATTAAAAAAAGAAAATAACCAAAAATTTGTTAAGCAACTGGCGTTTGGCAAACACTATGATACACATGCAATGTCTTAATCTACTCCTCATTCCAACTGTGTCAAATAGGTATTACCCCATTTTATGGATAAGGAAGAAGGGATTGGCCCAGGGTCATACACCGAAACTAGATAATTGGGAGTCAAGCCTAGGGCTGACTCAGTCTGTGTTCTTTCAACTAGGTCATAGCCCTAGTAAATTTTCTTTTTGGTCAAATTAGCTAGAATATAAATCTGACAGTTCAAAATATAATCTTGTCAGACTTACAGAATCTCTGTGTATTCTCTATATCTGTTAAAGTTATTAGATATGAAGGAGACTAGTAAGATTAGCATTAGCAACTAAGATGCAAAGGAATATCAAATACCAATTTGAGCAATGTATATTCACTAAAATAAGAGAAACGTACAATTTTCCAAATACCAAAATTATTATATATTTCCAAAAGATCAAGTCATCTACTGCTACTCACCTTTCCAAAACACATTTTTGTGTATGTGTGTGTGTGTGTGTGTGACACATCTGTCACCTTAATAAACAGTACTGCCTTTTAGAACTGGTTATGAGTGGTAACACAAATTTATTTGTGAGAACTCACTCAATATTAAGTATGATTTATAACAGTCATATAGTTTTGGAAAGAAAGTTCTCTTAACCAAGTAATAAGAACTACATAACACTTTAAATACTTTTCAAAGTATTTGCATGTACATCTTCGCACTTGATGATCACAACAATGTTTTGAATATGAAGGGCAGATTTCTCAGTTTTACCAATGTAGAAACAGATAGAGTTCCAATCAAACTCAAATTTCATGGCTGTCACAATTGATGTGATTTTCAGTTCTAGCACTGGTGGCATAGTCGTTAAAGCACTCACCTATAACCAAAGGGTAAGCAATTTGAATTTACCAGCTACTCCATGAGAGAAAGATATGGCAGTCATCGTCTATAAAGATTACAGCCTTGGAAACACTATAGGGCAGTTGCAGTCTGTTCTAAAAGGGTTGCTATGAATAGAAACCAACAAGATGGCAGCAGGTTTGGTTTGGTTTGGTTTTTTGCAAGAACTCTGATATACAGGATATTATACCTTGATGATGGATCTTCAGTAGTGTAGTTAGAGTACAGTTCAAAAAGCTTTAATTAAATTTTAAAAAACAGTAAAAAAATTCTACTAAGTAAACACTTTCTCTCATGAAGCCTGTTGATTTAACATTGTTGTAATTCCTCATATGAAGCAATTTGCCATATTATTTCAAATTGAGCTAAAAATATTAAAAATGCAATATTCTTTTTTTTTGTTTGTTGACACACATGGGGTTACCATGAGTCTAGTCAGCTTGATGGCAATTAATTACTGGTTAAAATTTTAGCTGTTAATAGTATTATGATTATTAAGTTTTTATTGTGATTTGGATGAGAGTTTACAGAGCAAATTAATTTTCCATACAGCAGTTCATACACATCTTGTTTCATGACATTGACTGCAATTCCCCACAATGTAACAGCTCCCTTCCCACTTCCTCCCCACAGTTACCTCTTCCTTGTGTCCTTTCCTCCCAAGCACTCCCTCCCCCCTGAACTATTTCCCTGAGCAAACACTGCCCTTCTGTTCTCCCACAATCCATTACTCCAAGAAGTTTATCTATCTGATGTATACGTTCACCCCATATACTGTCTACTATTTGGCTGAAAGCCACAGGAGTAAGTTCAATTCCAGACCTGAAGGGTAAATTAGGGATTTCATCAGGCTCTATCAGACCAGCAAACCTGGCTTTTTTTTTTTTTTTTTTTCCTGATTTTGAGTTTTGTTGCACATTGTTCTCCCACTCTATCCAGGCTTTCCTGCACCAATCCTCCTTTGAGTGGTTGACAGTGGCAGCCGGACACCATCTAGTTCTTTTGGTGTCTTGGTTATACATGGTCTACTAGTCCCTTGGACTAATTGTTTCCATGTGTCTTTGGTTTTCTTCATTCTTCTTTGCTCTGGATGAGGAGAGACCCATCATTGCATCTAGATGGCTGCTTGCAAGTTTTTAAGACCCCAGTCACTACTCACCAAAGTAGGATGTAGAACAATGTTTTTGTGTAGTATGTTTTGCCAATTGAGCTTGATGTCTCTTGCAACCATGGTCTCAAGCTCACAAGTCCAACTACTCTGCAGTCAAGAAGCCACCACAATTTTGTCCCTTGTGGGCTCTAGTATACACCCAGACCTTCTTATAGCACACACAAATATGCAGGTAGAAACTTCATCTGCCAACACTATACATGGTCATGGGCACATTCCCCCTGCCTAGACATACCTGATCATTCAGCCTGTCCACCCATCTGTCCACCCATAGATCAATACTTGCCATCACTGACAACACAGTACTGTAGATGCAAAAGGGTTCATCTTTGTTGTCTGTATCTCCGGTGTACCTCTCTGTGTCTTCCTCTTTCTCAGTGTTACCATGTTGCGCACTCACTCTTGCTACATCATCCTTTCCTTCACACAAATCAATGCTTATTTCTATTTATCTAGCAGTGTTCCCTCTCTTTCCCTCCCATCCCTGGTAACCAACAAAGTTTCCTTCCATATATAAACCTTTGCTTGACTTTTTAGAATAGTGAACTAATACAATATTAGGCAATTCTGTGATTGCCTTATTTCACTCAGCATAATATCCTCCAAGTTCATCCACTTTATGCAGTTTTTCACATATTTTACATTATTCTTTAGTGTTGCATAGTATTCCATTGTGTGTATGCCATGGTTTGGTTATCCATTCTTCTATCGATGGGTACTTAGGTTGTTTCCATCTTTTTGCTATTGTGAATAGTGCTGCAATGAACACGATATGCATATATCTGTTCTTGTCCTGGCTCTCACTTCTTTAGGATATATACCTAATAATGGGATTGCTGGATCACATGTATTTCTAATTCCAACTTTTTAAGGAAGTGCCAAACTTCCACATGATTTCCTCAGTGGTTGTATCATTTTACAATCCCACTAGCAGTGTATGAGAGTCCCAATCTCTGCACGTCCTCACCAGCATTTATTTTCTGTATTGTTGAACTTTGCTATTAGTGCTATTATTTCCATCTCTCTAATGGCTAATGATCATGAACATTTCTTCATGTGTTTGTTGCCGCCTGATTATCTTCTTTGGTGAAGCTTCTATTCATGTCTTCTGCTCATTTTTCAATTGGATTGTAAAACCACAATATTTTTAAGTATTTACAAAACTATTCTTCAGAACTCATTAAGTGAACCAAATTTTATTGAGGAAAATGCTTTCAAATAACAAAGCATTCAAAAGTGTTTTAAAACCTTTTGCTTTGCTTTTTTTTTTTTTTTAATTGCTTAGTTTTTTTTTAGGGAAAAAAAAAACCTTTTTACTGTGATTTGGGTGAAAGTTTACAGAGCAAAT